CCTTGGTCAGATCCTGACCTTCAAGCTCTAGTTTCACCATCTGTAAAGTGGAAATGATCTCACATTTTCCTCTGAAGATTAAAGAACCTAGGTAAAGTTCTATTCAACTGATCATTCCCTATTAGTGTGTGTGTGTGTGTGCGTGTGTTGTATTTCAGTGTTCACATTCCTTTTACCTTTGGTTCACTGTTCACCTTTGAATCTAGGACTGTCTTTCGGAACTAAAACACTTGAGTGACAAAACAGCACAACTGACATTGTGCTGCTGTGTCCTGAGATATAAACACAACTGTATTTGCTCATCTGGAACATGTGGTTGGAAGTAATAATAGTGGATATTTACATAGGGCATTAGCGTCAGCATTTTAACCTAGCGCTAACTGGTATTTTGTAGTAGAACTCTTGCAGCTTCTTCCTGGTCTCTGTAATATGAAGTGCTACGAGACTACCACGTGCTAGGTAAGCTGAGGCAGGTGAGAGGTCAGGGCTTCTTATCAGTAAATAATGGACGTGAACCCCGCCATTGCATGCTGATCTCCTCGGCCTGAATCCACCATAAACAGAAGGCAGAATTGGGACAGGATGTTGTTCAGACCAAGGTCCCCTCTGCAGCATCTCCTTTACCTATTGTAAGAGTTACTTAACTCTGTTTAATTTGCATTTTTTCGGACTTTTCTAAACTGTTGGCAGGAGAATTCTTACACTGAACTGAATTTTGCTTTGAATCTGGATCAGTATAGAATAAACGCTCTTTGTACTTTGTCATTGGGAACAACCTTTTGTCTCCCTTGAGCTCTGTTGCACCCTTTGTATGTCTTAAAGAGAGCACCCCAGATGCGCTTCCCACATATCTTCTCCTCATGGAGGTAATAAAGCCTCTGGCAACCACTGTGAGGGAATTTTATAAATAAGCACAAAAGCCAGTTGCTGAATTCTTGTTTTGTCAGGGGCACTTGCTGATGCTTTAATACATCCTGCTTCTCCTATAGCTGACATCATCTTTAGGAGGGAGAAGTGAAAGGTTTTTTCCCATTGTAGGCAAAGGAAGGTGCTGGCCAAGGTAAGCTGACATTTACCTTTCGAGCCCCAGATAGAGTCCCATAGACAGGTCCTACACCAGAAACACCCTGAAAGCAGGTATTTTACAGTACTTTTATAGGAATGAAGCAAGACGTTTAAATACTATTTAGGTAGGTATAGGTGAGGTACAGATGAGTTTCCTGACAGGTTGGCGTGGAACCGCTGGGAGGGCTGTGCTGGCTCTTTGATTTGCTGTGCTGCCGTCTGCTCCACCCATGGAGATGGGTTTCCTATTTCCACGCTCTCTGGCTTTCACCAGCAGACTGAAAATGTCACTGATCCTTTTCAGTTCATTGCAAATTCTTCTGGGAGGATTAATTTCCTTCCACAGTTGTAAAAATAACAAATGTTGTAATTTGAAGGCATTGTTCTTAGACTATTGCCCTACCGAACACAGCACATTTTCTCGGATTACTAACACTTCCGGAACTTCTGTAATTCTGTAGAATTGTTGGCCTTAGGTCCTAAGGTTAAACTCTTAAAAAATTTAACTCAAATGACTTCCTTTTATTGGGGCTTTTGGTGCATGCTCTCTGTCATAAAGCTGTTTTTTAAAATTTTTTATTTTTCCTTGCATCTTGAAATGCTGCAGAACATTCTTCCCTGCCTGACGAATGATAGTGAGCTGATGTCCAGGTGGAAACTCCCTGGCAGACTTTTCCTCCATAGGCACCCTCTGATGTACAGTTGAGAGGACCCCAGGTTGCTAGGCAGCTAGTTTGAGAAGCAGGGAACATGTGGCTGAACAATGGATGGGTTTCCTGCTCACAGGAGTCTGGAAGGCATGGACAGGTCTCCCCCAGGTGATTTCTTCGCATATTTGAGAAGGGATGACAGGGTAATGGGTCTGAGAGGGTATCCCCTGCTCACTGCCGTGCTTTTCCAGAGTTTTACACAGGGGCACAACTTTAAGGGGTGAGTACCTCGTCACCATTTCTGGTTAGTGTTCAGGTTTGACCCAGGACCCTGCTTTTGGTCACTCTTGGCTGAGCACTTTGCCAGGGTTCAGGTGCTGCTTCATCCTCGGGAGGCTGTTGTTGAGTGAATGGTGTATGGCAACAATTCCACCTGGAATGTCTCCCAGGGCTTTAAGGTTCCCAGGGATGTTCACACCGATGATCTTTTTGTGTATCTCAGCCATCCTGTGAATCAGGTGTGGCACATACTTTAGTGTGCAATAAATTTCGCATTAACCAGATAGTTGATGCCATGAATCCATGACCGGTTTTTAAAATTGTCCAATCAAGCCGGTAGAGAAAGAAACACACACACACACACTCCCCTATCACCACCAGCACCACCAGAACTGCTTTTATAGACGTTGCACGCGCCCTCCACCAAGACTGTCCTGTCCTGTCAGTGTCCACACCCAGATAGACTGGACCAGTTATTTACTGTCATGGGAAGTGGGAGGTCGCCTGTGGAAGATGGCTGAGGGCCATGAAGCAAGGGAAATAGAAAAGGCTTTTGAAATCTAGAGCTGACTTCTCAAGCAGAATGGGTGGATTCCTGTCCAGCTGGCCATCTCACTGGCCCTCTCCCCCATGACCCCACCACTCTGAGCACATGTCCAGCCTGCTGCTCTGGGGCTCTCCTGTGGGTTTATGTCCACGATACAGTCACATCCAGGCACTGTGTCTGTCACCATGCTGTCCGTCTCGCCTCTTACACATGTCATCTTTCTCAGGCAGGAAGTGTTATAAACCCTCCAAGAGTCACATTTTTCAAGGGTGTAGTCCAGGCTGCTCACCTACAACAAAACACTCTGCACTCTTGACCTCAGCCAGCTGGTTCATGTTTACAGCACAGACTGCCTGGTGGTTTCTTGCAGGGTGTCTGGTCTCTTGGCCTCCTTCTCTGCCCTGGTCTCCCCTGTTGGCTCTGTCTGGAATGCCCCTGCCCTCTGTGTTTGAGGCCCCCTTTGCCCTGAGCTCCATGGGGGCCTAACCTTGTATCTTCTCCCAGGAAGGACTTTCCTGGCCCCTTGGCGAAGTTGGTCACCAGCATATTTGCACCCCAGGACTCCTTCTCCTGAGCTTCATTGCACACAGCCTCTACCCATAGAGGACATGTCTCAGCTGCTAGATGGCAACCTTTTCGAGGGTGGCATCCAAGACCCGGTACCCCTGCTCCAGCTGAGCAGGTGTGGGTGGTGCACACTTGATGTCATTTCACCATGATGTTGGGCACCAAGATAAGGAGCACAGTGCACATCTGCTTGTTACCCCAAGACCCCACATCACCTAGAATCAGGCAAAATGTTTTCACCATTAAAGGACCTTTTCCGAATACAGTTAGTCAGGGGTGGGAAGTCACGGAGAGGAGCAGCTTTTTCTTTTGTGGGAAGTGGCCGTTGCAGACTTCAGTGTCTGGATTTGTGTTCCTGTTGCTCTACAAGGACACTTTGGTTACTTGCCCAAAATAAGACAAATGGTCACTGGTTCCATTCAGGAGCACCCTGTTTTGATTTCTGTAAACAGAACCGGAAGAGACGGTATATTCTTTCATTGCTAAGTTGGAGGAGTTGCTTCTTGAGGATTATAGGATAGGGTGTCCAGGAAAGCAGGGTCTTGAAACTTGGTGTCCACTGGTCTGTGTCATTTGGTGATTGTTCTGTGATAGTGTCATTGTAATTCTGCCATTGGGTGGTCTCTCAGCCTGTTTTCAGCAGTTAGAAAGTATCTGTTTTCTGCTACTTATAAAATACTTATTCATCCACATCAGTAAGTTTTAAACCAGAAATTAATAATTCATTTTCTATGGCCTATGTGTGTGTTTAGGGAGGGTCAACACTAGCATTTCTATTGTATAGTACAAGCTATAGGGAAAACAGTATTTGTTCTGTATTTTTAAAATGCCGTAAAAGTCATACAGCATTTCTTGACTTCTTATGTGCCATTAGAACTATAAGAAAGTGAAATTTGAAAAGAGGTCAAGTGCATCATTTAATTTTCCATTTAATTTAAAAGAGAATTATAAAATAAACAGATATATAAACATTGAAGAAGGTGGCTAAAATGGGTATTTGAGTTGACTGAATGTTTACTGATATGTATTTGAACAATGAGAATGATTCTAAATATTAAAACATCAAAAGATACATTTCTTATTCTTATACTTTTTTTAGAAAAATGAAAATAAAGTTTTCATCTCCTCTGTCATTATTCCTTTGTCATAGGATCTTGGGAATTGATCTCTATTCTAGATTATAGTGCATTCCAGAAACATGCAAAATAATTTGTATATGGGAAAACTGTTTTGTTAAACTTTGAATTTTCTCTTTAGAAAGAAAAAGCAAATTTTACTTTGGACTTAGAAATAAAACTAACTATTATTTCAGTAGGATTATTAGATGAAAAATATGGTTACCTATCTTGATAGCTATAATAGAGGAGGACTCTAAGCTTGGTTTGTTCTTTATTTATTTGGCTTTGTCTTTCCTTTATGACACACTGTACCACAGATTTCCACACCATATTCAGCCTAGGTGTGTGGAAATTTGGGGAGTGGAAGGCAGTGTGATGGTTGAGATTGATGGATGTTGCATCACCTTGGCTCACAGACACATCCCATGACTAAGTCACGAATGTGCAAGGTCAGCTGAGGCAGCGGAAGTCCCTCATCTCATCCTGTCACTTCCTCAGATTAGGGCTTCCCTATAATGAAGAAGCGACTTATACTCTAGCAGTGACAAAGGTTTGATTTCTTTATGTACCAGATATAAACCCAAACTCATGGAGAGGTGGGCATCTAACGGCTTAAATAATATTTAGAAAAGATGTTAGGGACTTTAAGAGTTGACTGGGGGAGCTTGAATATTCTTTAGACTCAGGGGTTCCAGTGGTAGGCTAACAGGAATCTCTAAGAAAGAAAGACTGGTTGCCTTAGTTACAGTGTTTTTGTTTTTTGCTTTGTCCCAGACTGCCTCTTCAAGGTGTGCCCCATGAACCGATATTCTGCCCAGAAACAATACTGGAAAGCTAAACAGGCCAAACAAGGGAACCACACAGAAGCAGCCTTGTTGAAGAAATTACAGGTAAGGCTCCACTCCCCAGGAGAACTGCGGTAATGAGAGATCTATTTCATAGTGTAGGGATTTCATTCAGTGCACAGAGATTTGGAGTAGGTACAGCAACCCTTGGAAGAAGGGACTTCCAAGTTACGGGGTGTGACTACTATTTCCTGGCATGCAGGTTATATATCCGCAGCTGTTTTTTTGGGTTGTGCCAGATTGATTTAAAGATTCACATCACACTGGTGACCAATGTGGAATCTCTGGAGGAATATCAAATCCAAATTTGCTTTATTTGGCATTGATATTTTTTTTTCCCCTCTGAAAGACTATGGGAAAAATTGACAGCCTGTTGTTTGAGCTAAGTGTAAATGTGTTAGAACTTCACTTTACTTTTTAAGCTCCCTCTTTCAGAATTCAAACTGTGTTTTGAAACTTTTGAAATTATACTTTGGAGACCTACAGTCTTGTTTGTATGGTTTCCCTAGCAGTATTCCTCCTGAAAGTAATTCTTTGAGACCAAAGAACTCAGTGCCTTACTGAAATTTCCAACATAAAAGCATCTCCAGATATTTTAATTTTATTTATCTTTTAATGAAGTACCATTATTTTACTTGTTAACTTTTTGACAGGCAAAGATGTCAGGTTTGGTCACCACAGGTCTCCACACCAGAACACCCAGAGTCCAATGTATTCTCCTTCCCCCAGTTTTTACCCCTTTCTCCTTGCCCCCTCCCCCATGCCTCAGATCTACCATGGTCAGCTTTCAAGGGTTGATTTTAAAGTTTTTCTTGTCTGACCCTTTGTTTGATTTCTCTATATTTCAGATATAAGTGAAAACATTTGGTATTTTTCTTTCTCCATCTGACTTATTTCACTTAGTATTTATTCCTTCTGGTCCCATCTATGTTGCTGCAAATGACCTGAGTCTGTCCTTTTGGATCATTGATTTGCATTCCATTGTGTATATAGACCACTTCTCCATCCACTCATTGTTTTGGGACATTTAGGTTGTTTCTGTATCTTGGCTATTGTCATTAGTGCTGCAATAAACATAGGAGTGTAGATTTCCTCTTGAATTAGTGTTTTTTGAGTAAATACCTAGGAGAGGAATTGTTGGGTCCCATGCAGATCCATTTTAGTCTTTTGAGGACCTCCACACCACACAGCTTTCCATAGTGGCTGAACTACTCTACACTCCTACAAATAGTGTAAGAGGCTTTCTTTCTTTTTCTTTATACCCATACCAGCAATTGTTTCTGCCCCAAATATTTTAGACCACATTTAGGCACTAAATTGATGCAATTATCACATTGCAATATAATCATTTATTTATGGCTCTCCCCTCCCCAAGAATAAAGCCAGGGCCTGTCTTATTCATGGAAGTATTCTTTGTTCCTTAAAAAAAAAAAAAAAAAAAAATTGCCTTTGTCAATTTTGTGCTGTGCTTACTATGTTTCACACTGAATATTGATAATCATTTTATAGCATGCTGCAGAACTGGAGCAAAAACAAAATGAATCTGAAAATAAGAAACTGTTGGGAGAAATTGTGAAATACAGTAATGTTATACAAGTAAGTTTATTTCCTTTCCCTTAAAAGAGGTGAATATTGTGTAAGTAATTACATTTGGTATGATTGCTAATCTGAGTTAATTAAATTTTGGCCTACAATAGTTTGTTCTTTGGTAAGAATTATAGATATTGTGATATTTTCAGGTACTGTTTTGATACATCACTCAATATTTGGGAAGAAGTCTTTGTAGGCACATACTGAGAGCTTGTCTGGATGTACACACAAGTTATTACATCAGAAAGAAGATGGGAAACACTAATTTCTAAAGACCTATAATAAGAGCCCTGTAAAATTAATGGGGTGGACATGTAACATACAAAATTTTATCTTTTAATTTTTTAAAGTGAGGGATGTTTTCAAATTGTACTTTTCATGGAAAATGAGGCTTGAGTTATCACTTCAATGAGTACACACACTGATTTATCTCAGCTGCATTCCTTTCTTGTGCTTTGCTGAGATATTTTAGGTTGTTTCTTGGTTATTTGTTAATATATGCCCTACCTTGATCCAGAAAGAATGTTAGGCGTTTTCAAAAATACAGACCACATAACAAGATGAAATAGGAATAAAGGTAACAACTGGGTCAAAGGGAGATGAACAGATGAAGAAGGAGAAGTCTTGGGTGAGGTGTGTTTATAAACAGCATGTTGTAAGGTGTGGTACGTTTGGGCCAGAAGGCTCTTTGTTGTCTGATGAGCTAGAGGACAGCATGATCTATTCCAGCATTTGCAAGCTGCTCTGTCACCTCCAGCTCTGTCAGAGGTCTAGGATCCCGGGAAGACCAGAGAAGTATTTCTCCAACAAAGAGGACTCTGTGTGAGACAGTAAACAATAACCCTAATAGCTTCCTTGCAGTAAATGCTACAATGAGGTGTTTCACAGAGCTGTTTTAAACATACTGTGTTTTGTTACTGGCCAGTGACGCAGTGCCAGTGCAGGGCAGCCAAAGCCCTACTTTGATGGACAAGATGAGGGAGCAGGTCTGTGGCTCCCTGACAAAGACCTAATCTAATGAGTGCTGGTGGAGGGGAAGGATGCAGCACCCCGGGGTCATGCTCTGTAAATAAACCTTCTCACAAGCTTTGAACGCTGTGAAATGCAAGCAAGCACAGCTTAGGTTTCTGGTCAAGAGCTGGAAGGGCACGTCTGTATGTGGTCCCTTGGGGCTGAGCTCTGTGCTCCTGCACAGAGGGTTTGCCAGGTGTGGCTTTGATCCATGAGAAAGGCTTTTTGTGGGCTTGTGCTAAAATGAGAACCAGCAGAATTATAATGAGTCTTTCAAAAAAGTTGTGTTTTTCCCCAATTAAAGAACTGCCCTTTATTTTGAGATAACTTCTTTCTCATGGTGTAAATTTTAGAATGACCATTCTTCCTTGAAATGATTGCAGTAATGGATAGGATGGCTGTTTGTTTTAGCTTTCCTGCTCAGTCAGTAGAATAATGTTTTGCAAAAATTTGACCACTACCTCTGACGTCTCTGAGAATGGTGCCGCAGAGGGTGGGGCTCAGTGTTCTCTGTGGAAATGGCCCAGCCTGGCTGAGATGGTAGCCAGTGGCCTGGGGTGGTTGGAGCACCCAGAGACTCAGAGCATCATTTTGATGCCTTTCTTTTCTGAGTTACAGTCTTTTATTTTGTGGCTATGCAGGAATTGCAAAAGGTTGCGGTGTTGGGGAGTCTCAGGTCTCCTGGGGGAAGCCTAGTTTGATCCCTTTATTTATCAGTAGGTGGAGAGCACTCTGAGGTGTCCACTTGGGTGGCTCCCCTCATGTGCCCACTTCATCTGAAGCAATATTTGGGGGTTGAGGTCAGGAGGAGCTCAAAGGAGGTCAGCTTGGGAACATGGTGAATGTGGAGTCTGCATAGAGCTTCTGTAGGTGGGTTTGTGACACAGTTCCGTGTCACAGAGAGTAGCGGAGTATACAGGTGGTAATCTGTGTCTTTCCTTGCAGCTACTGCATATAAAAAGCAACAAGTATCTGACTGTCAACAAGAGACTGCCTGCCCTCCTGGAGAAGAACGCCATGCGGGTGTCCTTGGATGCAGCCGGGAATGAAGGGTCTTGGTTTTACATTCATCCCTTCTGGAAGCTGCGAAGCGAGGGTGACAATGTACGTCAGTCTAAAATTAAGGGAGAAACAGTGCTTTCTGAAAGACAATAATTCCCAGCAAGTGAGACAATCCAGAAAATGCAGAGAAAGGAAATGCAGTTTTTAATGCACACATTTTTTTTACATTAATATCTTTAACTGCTTAAAGGCATTTATTTATAGTATGAACTATGCTCATGAAGCATAAAAACAAACAACCTCAGATTGATTTAAAATGTTGTCAGATAGACCAACTAGTGTAAAAGAACTTATGTTATGCTGATATTGGCCTCTCTTTTACAAGAGAGGCAGGTTTCCGAATTGCCTGGGCAAGGGGAACATGATTGTAAGGAAAACAAGCTGAGATTAAGAATTGTTGTCCATCCCTTTGAATTCATAGAGTAATTGTGTTGTGATGATACTTCATTGGCTCTTGGGTCTGCTGCTTCCAGTTCATACATCTTTTTTTTTTTTTTTTAAGGTTTGTTTATTTATGCTTAGAGGAACTGTGATCTAGATCAGAAGTGCAGGAAGGTGAGAGGATTCACCAGAGACAGAGTTGGGAGTAGAACAGACAGACTGACCAAAACATGCTGCTGAGGGGAGCAGTGGGCAAGACAGGAGAGGTCTGCTGTGCCATGTTGGACAGTTCCATGGCGGGGGTTGAACTCAGGCCATAGTGGTGATAGTGCTGAGACTTAACCCCTAGGCCACCAGTGAGGCCCATGCATCTTAATAGATCTGACATTGGTATCTGCTGTTGATAATAGTATTTCAAATATGCTATGGAATACAAAGAGCAGCTTGTGTCATGGACGTCTTAGTAGCAGCTCAAGTATTTTTGTGACTTTATAGATGAGGGAATATTAAAACCATACGAAATAATTTGATAGGATTGGTGGTTTGACATTTTTGTGTGTGATGGACAAATAAGCAGTGATACTTTGTAGGCTGCGGGAGGGGCGTAATGACTCCTGCAGGACCGTCAGAAATAGAGCTCCTTGTGGATTGGGGTCAGGTGATGGAAAAAAATGGCTGAGATTTTTGAAACTTAACACTGTACATTCTAAGCACTATAAAAGTAGAATTACTCTGAGGGGGTTTTCTTAATCACGACTTTGATTACATTTAACATTTCTTGCCTTAGAACTGTCTTCTTTTATAGTGAATCTATTTTTCCAGTGAATTTTGACTTCAAGTTCAGTTCCACAGGATGCCAGCTTCCTGCTTTAACTTGGTTAATAAGTTATCTGGTGACACCCTCTTTCGGTAAGGCGGGGAGCAGCATGGCATGCAGGAATGTGATGCACTTTCTGTCTGTGGAGTCCTTACAAATTTAGGAATACTTTTTTTTTTGTTCTTTTTGACATCAAGTGTTATGTACTGTGAGCATGATATATATTTTAATTTTAGTATATAGTTAATTACAGTCAACTCTCAGTTCTTCAGGGACCCATCATGTGGTTTGTCATCCCTCTGTCCTCTGTTGCATGCCCATGGCCACCCCTTCACCCCCAATATGTTGTCCCTGTCTCTGGAGGTGCTCAACTCAGTCTCAGACTCTGAAGGGATGAAGTGAAATCATCAAATAAATTGGGACTTTTAGATTAGCTGTGGATTTGTTAACTCATCCTGTCACATTTACCCATTCAGTCCATTGCCTTTCAGAAATGCCTTTATAGGGTCAGCAGAGAGTTGAATGTAATGAACTATTTCAAATAATGAGTTGTACCGGGGGTAAAAAAAACCCAACCTGTCACCCACACACCCATCGTGATTAAGAGGAGCGGTGTCATTGTCAAGTGCTCTAGAGATGCCGCCTCCTGTAGATGTGCTCCAGAAAGCATGGCTTTAGCAACTTTCCACGTTGCTTTCTTGCTGAAGTAGCTCAGTGTCTTTGCTCACCCCGTGCAGCTCTTGTATGTGATGAGGTTGCTGTGGAGGCATTTGCACACCACACCCCTATATCTGCCACATAAATACTGTATTGTCGCCCTTATCTTCTCATATGGAAGAAGGCAGCATATTTCTGAACTAAAGCCCACTGTGTTTTATTGAAGGCATTTGGAAAGGCTGTCACTTCACGACAGTTACCACTAGTTTTCTTTAAACACATGTTAAACTGAGGAGGAGGATGGCAAGCTTCCGAGGACTTTTAAAATTATGTTTTAAGTCAGAAGGAGAAAGATAAATTCAGATGATTTCCCTCATAGAGGTGGACTATAGAGAAGCAAAGCCAAGCAACAAAGCTAAATAAGCAAACCCTGGAAATCTGACTGCAGAACTGAGACTGTCAGGGAGGGGGAAGGGAGCAAAGGAGGCAGGGGTCCAGTGAGCAGGGGCTTTGGTGGGAGCCATGGTGCGATAACACACCTTTGAAGAGTGCAAACCTATACCCCTAAGGTGAGCAATTTTTTTTAAAGGTCTTAAACTTTTTTTTTTCAAGATTTATTTATTCATACAAAACTGGGGTACAAGCCAGTTGTGCAGGGGTGGTGAGAGGCTTCACCAGAGACAGAGTGGGGAGCAGAACAGGCAGATCTACTGAAATACACTGCTGAGGGGAGCAGTTTGTGGGTCAGGAGAGGTCTGCCGCGCCATGTGGGTCACCTCCGGGGCTGGGGATCCAACTTGCACTGAGGTGGCTGTGGCCAGTTGCTGTGCCCCAATCTGTTGCACCACCAGGGAGGGCCCAGATGAGCAGTTTTTTAAGTCAGCATTACCTTACCTCAATAAACACAATTAAAGGAATAAAAGAAAACATATTTGCTGTCTAAGTTTATTAAATAATGATGTTGATTGTATTTATGAAATGATTGGTTACAGAATGAAATGCAAGACTAAGCCTGATGGTAGTCTGGGGAGAGAAATGCTATGTTCTCAGAAGTCAGTGGTTTCTACCCAGGGGGAGTATGTTGTTGTTGGTCTTATAGGATTGTGGGTCAGGTAGTTTTTGAGAAAACGATAGGTTCATGGCTCCCTTCTCTGTCAGTTGTCCAGAAAGCCTTGCTTGCTGCTGAGCAGGCAGCATCCCTGGGGCAGCACTGACCTGCACTCCCATCCTGTGATTTCTTTGAGGTCAATTTTTCATCTCAAGTGTTGATCTAAGAAGACATTAGTTCTTTCCCATTGTGGTAGGTTTAAAAATATAGAAAGGGTTCGTTATCTTTTTCAACTCGTATTTAATCAACTTGCAGGGAAAGAGCCTCTTCAAATAGTAAGTTGATTTTGCTAGTTTGCAAGTCTGGACACCTTGGCCTCTAGGCAAGTCTAGAACCTGGTACTTCTATGGCCATGTTCTCTTCACTTCAGACGAAGGGCAGATGGCGCTGGCATGTGTTGCTCTTCATTCTCAGTCAGTTTCTGGGATTACACTTTGCCTGGCACTAGGGTGAAGTTTATGTGGCAGATCCTGGCCTTGCCCTTAAGTGCTGCATTCTCAGGCGGTGGCTGATCCTGACTTGTCTATGGCCAGGACACCACGCTATGTTCTCCTCTGAGAAAACCTCCAAGTCCTGTACTTACCAAGTTGTCTAGTAAGGTGTGGATTACCTGAGTGAAGGGCCTGTTTCTGACACACTTTCACATTCTTTCTGGTGCCTCTTTATGTGTCTTAGGATTGGCAGCTCGTACATTTCATTTGCAAGCTCTCCTCAACTCAGCCAGTACCTTACCCACTGTCAAGAGCAAGAGGAGAAACTGGGCATCAGGAGATTAATGTTCATTCTTCCTGTGACTATTGAACCCTCTGAGCTTGAAATATTTCAGCTAAATGGCTGACCCTGAGTGGTATTTTGAACTAAATGTAGGACCTGACCTGAGGGTTATTGGCAACTACAGGGGAATAGTAGGTATACACCCGTGGACCAAGGGGCATCCAAGAGGTGCTCTTAGTTGGAAAGTCATAGCAAAAAATGTCATTATCTTAAGTTATTGGTGAATATTTACATGGCTGCAGTTAAGAATGACACAGTAAACCAAATCCCCTTATTCTTAAGAAAGTTGAAAAATCAGGTGTCCCCCTGGAAAGATGTGGTCCCAGGTCCTGTGGACTCTGTACATGCGGGCAACTTCTAGCCTTTTCTGTGGCTCTCAGGCTTAGGACTACTGTGGTGTCTGTCATATGCAAGAAAGTGGGGTTTGCCTCCTTTGGGATTGTGTTGGAGATATGTCTCTGTCATGTTGATCTTTAGTTGCTTTTTGTTTGTAATTTAAAATAGGCCCTGATTCATGTTTCATAGTTAAAAACAATGCAGAGATATACTGTGAAGTGTTTCTCCCCAATTCTCATTTCCTAAGGGTTTCAGTGTACACTGACTCACTCTCTCCTGTCATTACACAAAGGCAGCCCAGCTCTGTTCCCTTAACCCCTCACTTAACACTGTTTCTGGATGACCTTTCTTATCTGTATCAGAGAATCTGTGGTGGGTCTTGGTGAGTCCTGGCATTTGTCTGATGATGAACTCTGCAGATGAGTGACAGATAGACACCAGTGCTGTAAACGACAGAACTGTTTCTACAAATCAAACATCGCTTTGTGTTTGATTGGTGAGGTTGAGACTTCCCTGTCATGCTTGAGTCTCCAGATGCAGTGTGACAGAGGTTCTGTATGTGAATAGACTCCTACATCTTATCATAAAAGGTTAATTCATATTGAAAATATGGTATTGCATTCCTTAGATCTTGGTTAGGTTAAGACATAGAGAGAAGAAATCCTGTTATTCTTTGTCTTGAGTCCAGATTTATTTCACAATTACCTATCAATCTAATCTCTTCCAGTATTCCAGTTGGTATGAAATATGCAAAGGGAAGGTAGTGGTTTTCATTTCTGAGATGAGGAACAATTCTATAAATGGCAGTGTTGGTACTACAGTAACAAATATTCGAGCAGAACTTGACCACAAAAGTAATTTTCATCATGACAAAGTTTAACTTTGTCATAACTTCATCTCCCCACAATTTGAATTATGAATAAAAGTACTTGAAAATAACATTGACATTGCTGATAATAGCATAAATAAAAAAGAACAGCTTAGACTTGGTTCTCTAAGAGCACTTTTTATTTACCAATTTTAATTTTAGTTAACAAGAACATCAGGTTCAAGGAGCAATACTCATTTTGGGTATTTAAGATGAAAGTGAGTCATCTGTCTGAGGCTCCAATGACAACAATTTTGGGGGGTCATACCTATTTTTCATTTCCTAAATCCAGTCCAGGTAATACTAGAATGTTTATGGGGAAGATGTGCGTTTAATTCCAGAGAGCATACAAATGTTTAACATTTTCTGCTTGCACTTGCAGTGGTCTGTGTGTAGGTAGAAAAGTTTTTGTGGCAGGCAGGCACATTTATTCTCACCTCTATGTTCATGGCATAACCTGCTACAGAGGGGCGATGACTTTTTTTATCGAGGTCAGAAAGCTCTTGTTGAAAATGGGAGACTAGTAAGACAAAGATCCACACTAACTTTATTAATTCAGACTGATGGTCACTGTGAGACATTATGGGATCATTTCTCAGAAGACCTTTTGCCTCAATGAGAAAAAGGAATGGAACTAAAATTTGTGGGGAGGATGAGCAGGCCAGCTGTTAGGGCAATAACAAGGAGTTCTGTGCAGTTATTTTTAGCTTCAACGATAGCACCCAGATCCATGCAGCATCTCAAATGCCATTTATTTCTGATTTTTAGATTGTTGTAGGAGATAAAGTTGTTTTGATGCCCGTGAATGCAGGACAGCCTCTACATGCCAGTAACATCGAGCTTCTGGATAATCCAGGGTGCAAAGAGGTAAGTTTGATTCACCGGGCTGTATGTTCTTGCTTTTACAGGCATCCTTTTTATAGGAATCCCATGAAAGAATGATTATTGTGATCATCTGTACCCCTTCATTGCTATGACTGTTAAGGCCTCTCTCTCGCTCTCTTACAAATACACACACAGGAAGTTCAGGAGGAAAGGAAAGGAGTTGTCTCATGAGAGAAAAAAAAAAAATTCATAGTTATTGTCTTGAGTATATCCTACTTAAATTCATTTGGGTTTCCTCAGGTAACAATTAGCTCTTGCTATTTTGAGATAGTCCTGTGAAGATAATTGTATCAAAGTACATTGTCCAGAGTTGTCTTTTTTTCTCCTTTTTTACTGGGGAAGTAATGACTTCGGGTATAAAGTGGCATCTGCAGTGCTAATTTAACATTTTCTCGTTGCTAGGTGAATGCTGTTAATTGCAACACCAGCTGGAAAATCACATTATTCATGAAATATAGTTCCTATCGAGAAGACGTTCTAAAAGGAGTAAGTGTGTGCCCCATGGGACACAGCTGGGGCACTCAAGGTCGTCTCAATGAACTTTGGGTGCAACCTGTGTTCTCAACGTGGCACAGGTCTGCAAACCTTCTGGTGGGGAGTGCGTTTTTAGCCCCTTTCCCCCCCATATTTTGAACTATCCAAAATAATCATTACAAGCCAGGTAACAAACAGGAACGTCTTGAGTACCAAAATCAGAAAGAGCCCCTTTTCTCTTGACTGTTCAGACTTTGGTTGGAAATACACTGTCTTGACCTGTTTTTCCAGGGCGACGTTGTTAGATTGTTTCATGCGGAGCAAGAGAAATTTCTGACTTGCGATGAATATGAGAAAAAGCAGCATATCTTTCTTCGCACCACCTTGCGCCAGTCGGCTACTTCCGCCACGAGTTCCAAAGCACTCTGGGAAATAGAGGTGCGTCAGGGCTTTGGGGCTCAAAGCGCTGTGATTCGCCGGGCTGTATGTTCTTGCTTTTACAAGCATCCTTTATAAGAATCCCATGGAAAAATGATTATTGTGACCAACTGTACCCCTTCATTGCTGTGACTGTTAATGCCTCTCTCTCGCTCTCTTACAAATACACTCACATTTAGTCCTGGTATATAAGGGTTTTGCTTTTTAAAGATCCATTGTAAAATGTTGTTAAGAGTAATGAGTCACTATTGCCCTTTAACAAGCAATGTTCCTTAAGTTGCATCTTGATTTGATATTTTTCAACCATTTAAAATCCATCACTCTCTTTTCACAGCTTGCTGTGATTTTTAATTTAATGCCCTAAAATAAGATTCATGTGTAATATTTATATATCACACTGCTTTAAAATTAATAAAATATCTAAAATTTAGTTTAAAGAGGGAATAAAAGGAATGTATAACAAAATAGAATGTATTTCAACATGTAAATGAGTGCTTTAGGAGCTAGGCTATTTACATATCTTTGATGGATATATTTGAACTTTAGAGAAGAGGGATAAGAACAGGATCAGAACACATACATGTGCAAGAAAGTGAAAAACCATTGGATAATTAGTGTTAGGAGAAGTAATACGGGGCAGACCTAAATGTATTTTGTTTTTAAAAAGGGGAACATGACCATAATTGAATCTGTGAGAGCATGACAAATTACAGACTGTGGAGATGGAGAGTGAACAGGTATGATGTTCAGCAAATGAACTGAGTCTTAGTTATAAAGGTAGCATCCAAATAATTCAAGTTATTAGTAGCATCCAAATAATCAAGTCATTACACAACTTAGAGATAAAATACTACCAAAACATATCTTGAATCTTAAAACTTCATTACATGTTGGGGTACACCTTTAGTCTCTAGCTTGGCAGGAAAGACTCTTTCAACATATTTGAAGACCAGATCCTGCAACAGGTTACCAGGACTTGAGGAGGTGGGGAGAATAACCACCCCAAATCCTCTGATACTCTTCCCAGAAGTGTACCTCTCAGCTTCCCTTATCAGAGTAAGACCAGCAACCCAAACATAAATCTAAGATTAAAACAGACATTAACACAATGTTTATTGCTTACTGTGTTAAATTTTTTTTTTTTTTTT